GGACTCTTGCTCTCTTTCAAAGGCCAAACCCGATTCAGAGATGTGTCACTATGGTCATCACCACCACTGGGTCCAGCGACCGCTTCTCATTCAGGATTATCAGGCTGGACAGCTCTTACACTGCCTCCCTATCATCAAGGTTCCAGCACTATTCTCATTTTCCACCCCGTCCTTTTATCGTCATTTACCAAGTATGATAGGGTGAACCAGGAAGTAGAATGTTAGGGGGCGGAGCTTAGCGTTTAAAAGTCAGAGGGAGGCAAATCTGGGCCTTTCACTCCACATGGGTGCAGAGGGCAACTGGCATCCAATAAACTTGAGCTTTTAAGCTTTGGTGCACAGACAAGAAGGTAAATGGATACAAGATGTTTGTCACAAAAGCTGTGCAGCCAATAATGACCACATCCTCTTAGGTCCAAGCAATAGTACCGGTCATCAGTCCTGGGAAAGTGTGTGTCCCACCTTACCTGATGAAAGGTCCTATCACCTGCTGGCCTCTAGAACCAGGAGAGTTCTTTTGTTGGATGTTAATAAATGTACTTTTAAATAGTTAAGATAGTAATTTTAATAATAAAATGATTGTCATACTGAATGTGAAATGTTTGTATCTTTTAGCGGTGATTTGGAAACTGCTGAGCTGCCATCCACTGTTTTTTCCCTCGGTTAAAGTTTGGGCTGTACATTAGTTGTTTGGGCCTGTATAGACTTTTTGGACTGTGTCAAATTGGATTGACTTGGGGGCACCTTTGCATGTTTTTGATTTTGTTTGGGCTTTGTTTGGCCATGCCATATTGATTTACAAATCCAATTCAGCCAATTGTATGCTTGTCCTGTTTTAAATACAGCCCATCAATTAACTGTTTTGCCACATATTATATTTTTATACAAGATTTTACAACAACTAATAATGATGCGTTTATATTTCTGCAAATAACTTTACTACTAATTAAGTCTCTTTCCACTTTATTTTCCACTTTGTCACACAAGTTTGACTTCCTTTTCAATCTGCGCTTGCTCTTTTCTGCAAGAAGTCAAGTCTCCCTGATTAAAACAAATATTTTTCTGATTAATATCATTGACAACTGTGGAAACACAGTTTTGTTATCAGGGTAAATGTCATTACATTTCTGGTGGATTACCAAATCCATCTAAAGGGCCCATCAGCAGAA